AAAAGCTCTCTCTGGTTTAATACTAAAGCTTTTCTCTCTCCTTTCCTAAATAGCATCTGTTTGCCTAACTCCCTCGTAAATCTTACAACAGGTTATCTAGACACCAAGATTTACAGTCTAGCCTCTATCATTGCCTTCTCTATGAAACGTAACTAAAATTAACTAGCACGAAACACAATTCCACAGAAGTCAATTTAGAGTTTTCAAACAGGATAGAAGATTAAGCTGAAGTCTAATGTAAGGACAACCCTGAACTGTTGTTCCTTCACCAGGCAATTTGCTTGTATTCTAGAGGCTCCCATTTCTTCCCAGCTTTCCAGACTTGTTTTAGATTTCTGCAGTTAATGCTACTCCATATGAGCTTTCTGAGGCATAGTGTCTACCTTTCACATATTCTTGCATTGGTGCAATTTATACTTGTCTCATCATAAGGTCGTAATATGATCCTGTATGTCTATGCTATATTGGCTTCTTGTATGAAGTTTTGTGAGGCGTGATGCTATGTAAAAACCAGTCTATTCATCCTTAAACTGTGCCAAATAATCTGCTAGTTATTACTAAATGAGAATCTTCAAGGTTATACATTTTCTTGAGAAATGTTTCCATTTCTTCTCTGATGTGGATTTGTGTTTGTATAGTGTTTGCATAATACTTGGAAATCCCATATATGAGGGGCCCAGAATGCTGTAAAACATTTTGACAGATAGTTCTTGAAATCACAACATTTTACCTGAAGGGCATACTTTGCTTGGGTGGAAAATAACAGCTCATTTTCTTACGCAAAACAACTCTGTGGCATACTGCAGACACACCAACTTATTCAGATGGAAGAAAAAATAGTGCTGTGATTAAAATGTATTTGCATCCCGTATGACAGGCGTTTCCATGTTACTTAGGATGCCTGCAGTGCTCAAATCATCTTGGCTTCTCCCATCATAAGAAATGCAGCCAAGTCTCTGTGTGCTTGAATTACCTGGACCAGCAGAACGTTAACTTTATTTTTCTGCTGAGCTTACGCTATACAAAACAACATTATCTAAGCAAACCTGGATGTGGAATGGATTGAACAGAGGCCAAGTGCTGAAGGGCAGTAACATACTGAACGTGATCCAGGGGAAACACTAGCACACCAGAACAGCTACTGGAGAGTGTGACCTTTTTCTCATTTCAATCAGGTGAGTACGAGGCAACTGTTTTAGGAACATGTATAAGCGAAAGTGATTTCTTAGGTTAATACACCAAGAGTTTGAACATAAAGCATTTTATATGGTCTATTGACATTAATATCTAACTCCAATGTGGATCAGAGAAACAAAAAACATCACACCTTATTCCTCTAAACAGCCAATAGCTTTTCGTACAGGAAGGTAACTCAGTGAAACTAGTGCCTAAAAATAGCTGAAGAATAAAAGATGACTATCAGTAAAAAGCCAAGCAGTAAGCTTAAAAGTTGAGATTTAAATATTTAAAAATTAAAAAATAGTCTTTAGCAAGTAATACTGGCAAAGGAGGAAACGGCTAATCAATAGATCCACATTCCCTTTCGTACAGTTCTAACTCTCCTGTGGCCTGCCAAAGACAGGAGGCTCAAAACAGGAATCCATAGCACGGTTCTCAGAGTTTCAGAAATGTTAAGTCAGAGGCTTCATGGATAAAGTTTTTAAAATACACTGAAATGAGCTGAGCAGATAAGGGTCTAGGAGCTGGTCCAGTCTGAGTTATTATTTAACTGAGGATGCAAACATCAGCACTGTCAGCTGGTCCAGGTTTCCAAAAACTTCACAAACAATTCTGCATGCAATTTCCAGCCCACCTCTAGTACATATTCATATTTCTTTTTGTTTGTTGGATACTGTTCATTATGAACAGTATTTGCACAAGCAGCTGATGCATTTATTTTAATACTAAGATGACTTTTGCTCCTTATGAAATTTCAGTAAAATACTAATTTCTGGAAAGAAACTCTGATAAATTTAAGCATTAGAAGTATATGACAATGCTACCAACTACTTTTTATGAGAAGAGATGCCTGACTTCGCTTACTGGACTTGTGGTATTTGTACTAAGATAATAATAACAACCCCATTACCTGCTGTGTTCCTGGAATACAGTCAGCTTACGTACACTAAATAGTCACCGAACAGCATGTTACACAATGGTGAAAATCCCTCATAGCTTCTTTGTGGTTTTGTGAATAGTGATCAATACCCCATAATTGCATGAACAATCAGATTTCATCATCTAGTTATTCTGTGTGCTGGTCAGAACACTCATAGGTTTTAGCACCCTTCTGTGACTGCTAGAACTGTCTTGAAAGTATCTGTCAGCACTGGAAATCTTCAAGAGATGCTTATGTCTGTGCCATTCGATACCAGGCAATTAGAAGTATTTTTAAAAAAGCATCTGTTGTAGTGTTTGGAACTGTTTTTTTGCTAGGTTTCTTTTTAAGTATATAACCACCTGATTATAAATAAAGTAGGGACAGAGTCTGCAGCCCTCCCTCTCATAAATAGTGTCACAGAAGTGAATGGGACTCTTTTATAACAAGAGTGTTATTACTACTTCAAAAATGTAAAATAAGTCAATTTATGATCATAGTTCTAAGGGGAGTGAATAGTATAATCATTAGGACTAGACAGAGGGTAAGCATCAAGAAATCAATGGAACCATCCAAGAATGTTGCTCATAATTGTGTCATCTCTGTGCTTATAACTGCACTGACTTTACTGGCATTGCACCAAGGAATCCAGAAGAAACTTGCATCAGATATTTATCTAGAAATTTGTCTCTTGGCTGAAATTCAATGCCTATTTTGAACTGCTCCTAAGTCTTTGCCACTTTTCCCTGAAGAACATAGGCCACTGAAAAGCAAAGTCCCTTTTTTGTGTTTTTTCAAATAACAAGATGTAGTAATACATGTAAATGCCTGCATGGATTTGCAGAAGAATCTCCTGATTGCTACATGAGAAAAGTAGACCGGCAATCACAAAACATACCATTAGGGGAAAGAAATTACTGTATCAGCATTAATTGAGAAAGAGACAATCTCACTCTAAGAAAATTCAAGTTGTAGGTATTTACCGTCTACAAGGCCAGAAACTCTACAGATAAACATTGTTTGAATTTTAGATGATGTTTTTCCTCTTTACCAAATCTCAAACCTAGGACTGAATCAGTCACAAAGGATTCAGTGTGCATGCAGATGTTGAGGGTTTTCTCTCCACCCTTAAGATGTTGAAATTAATCTTAATAGAGCAATGCATGGAAAGCTTTTGGTCCTGACTGGCGGTGTTACAGCCTGCAGTACATACTCAGTGGAAATAAGAGAAAATAACTGATTATGGAAAACAAGAAACACTGCAAAGACTCGGCATGATAGTTCGTATTTTTCTCCTTCTGTTATAACTTTCAGAAAGAGGTGATGCAAAGGTAAGAAATTGCAGAAAGGATTTGTATTTTGCTACCAGGAATCTTTTTCAGCATTATGTAGGAGTGGAAGGGGTACCTTGAGTCATCATTTCTAGTTCCCTATTATCAAAGGCAACAATTTAAAATAATCTATTTCATAAATATGTGAAATATGTGAAACTCTACCTTTGAAGTACAGAGGAGTAGAGAGACCAAAAATTCTACTGGGAGATTTAAAAACACTTTTTCTGAAGCCTTCTTCATTTTCCATCTAAATTTATTCACTGGCTGTTTATGTACCTTTTTTTTCTTTTGCCAATATGATCCTTAAGCTAAAATAATTCTTTTTTCTCTGTGGGTTACCTCTCTGCATTGACAGAGAGTGATCACAGCTCCTCTTTGCTTTCATTTTACAGGCAAGCTCAAGTCATTTATTCTTCTCCTGTAAGACAGTTCAGTTCTCCCAGTCATCACAGTACCACACCTTTTTTTATCTATTCCCATCTTATTTCAGTTTTCTGAAGCACCATTGACCAGATTCACTATTTTTTGTCCCGTGTGAAGTTCATCAAATAGTTGGCCTGAAACTTCTTTCCAGATCCATATGAGGAATAACTCCTTAACATTACTAAGGTCAAAATGTGGTGTGTGATGGTGCTTGGGTTTTTCTTTCTCACCTTAGAAGACAGACAAAAACTGAACACAAGATTTGCGGTGCAGCCTCACCAGTGCTGAGTACAGGGGGATCATCACCCCGTCCTCCTGCTGGCCACACAGTTTCTAATATAAGGCAAGATGCCCTTGGCCTTCTCGGCTACCGGGGCTCAAGCTGGCTCATGTTCAGCAGCTGTCAACAAGCACCCACAGGTCCTTTTTCAGGCACTCTTCCCTAAGCCTATTGCTTTGCACGGGTTGTTGTGACTCAAATGCAGGACCCGTCACGTTTCCTTGTTCAACCTCATACAGTTGGCCTTGGTCCATTGATCCAGCCTGTCCAGATTGTTCTGTAGAGCCTCTCACTCAAGCAGATCACACTCTCCCCCAGCTTGGTGGTGTCTGCAAACTTACTGAGGGTACACTCGATCCTCTCATCCAAAACATTGAGAAATATATTAAACAGAACTGGCCCCAGTACTGAGCCCTGAGGAACCCCACTTGTCACTGGCTGCCAACCGGATTGAGCTCCATTCACCACCGCACTTTGGACCTGGACATACAGCCAGTTTTTTACCCAGCAAAGAGTACACACGTCCAAGCCGTGAGGAGCCAGTAGAGTGCTGTGGGAAATGGTGTCAAAGGTTTTACTTAAGTCTAGGTAGAGAACATCCACAGCCATTCCCCCATCCACTAAGCAGAACACCTGCATTAATTTTACTAAAATAAAATAAAACCTACTAAGTCTGTTCCAAGTAGATAATGGGGTATCAGCTCATTGAAATTCTTCATCTTTTATTACCTGTCACTAGAGGCTACAAGAAGAACTGATTAACACTTGAAATTTCTATCTCAAAAATCTTGGCTGAGGACATTTGTAAGAAAAATTTGCTTAAAAAAAAAACCTATTAAAAATGTAGCTACAAACCACTGAACCGAGCTTTATTGAAGAAGTAGGTGTCTTATTTAGAAACACGTGAAAAATATGAGCTAGATGACCAATGGGATTTATTCCTGGTGTTTTGTTTCCGGGTTTATTTTAATTGTAAGCATTACTACTACCTCCTGGATGAACAATCAAGTTGCCAATGTCAAATATTATATTTTATGAGTCCGTATGGCTCTCTGCACTCTAAAGAAAACCGCATCACACTTTTTGTTGACTTTCTGTTATTCAGTGCATAGGGTAACAGGAATTACTCACTCTGCTCCTTCAAGGAGATAGCCAAATAACAGACTAGCTGCCACAGACTGCACAGGCAAAAGATCCCAATGCTATTTTCAAGGATAGATGTTGTTTCCACAGGTCAAACGCTGGGGAAACCATGGCCTGGTCTGAGTCTGTGGATACAATACTAGCTAATAAAGGTAAGCAGTGAAAGATACGTTTTTTTTTCAACATGCATCAACCCAGTTCACAAACGTTGCCATGAGGTTTTCACACTGCTTTCCAGTTGGACTCTCCACGTGCTTTGAAGTACACCAATACTGGAGGCATGCAACCTGCCATGCTGAAAGGCAGAGGGGGCATGTTTCTCCAAGCTGCAAACACAATATACCTCTGGTCAGTGCTAAAGGGACATTTAAGAAAGCAAAAGCCTCTTAAAGCATTTTGGTTTAAGATACTGTGTTAACTATCCATGCAATGGTTCTCTTCTTTTTTTTTTTTGTTTTTTAATTAAAAAACACCCCCAACCCCACCAAACCAAACACACAAACCTTTTCTTAGGTATTCCTGTTACAACAAAATATATGTGCTGTGCATTGGCTTTCAGTCAAACAAAAACCAATAATTTCTAATTTATCCAAAGTCACTTCTCTAATAGATCCCATTCCTACTGACCTGAAACCTCAAACCACATGTAACTTTAAAGTTTCCTTGCCCCTTCCCCCTTTTCTACAGTAACTTTGTGGCCTGGACCCTGGGGCGCCTCCACGCTGTATCTTAATAGCATTAACTTGACTAAGAGAACTTAATTTGGGTGCTGTCAGCTTTCTTTTCTAAGAGGTTGCAACTTGGATTAAGTTGAAATCAATTTTGTCCAAACAAACTTTTATTTCTTTTTTTTTCCTCTTAAAAGTGTAAAAAATGCTGAACAAAGAAATAACAAAGAGTCGATGTCTTTGTCCAAGTCTCTATCATTATTTGAAAGTAGATGGAAGGGCTATTCAAGCAGGGTAACCTCAGCTCTGAGAGGAGAACAGTAGTGCAATATAACTTTGATTTCTCATTGCTTCGTAGAGCAGCAGTGAGCCTCAAATCCCTAATTTTCTAGTCATGAAAAAACCTTCTTGAAGGCCAAGATCTCTAGGATCCCCTTTTAACTAGTGTATCAGTGCTAGAGACCAGACAGTAGCAGGGAGCTTTCCTCAGTTAGTAACTCTCTGAAAGAACTCTTAGTCACTTTATCATTGCTATAGTTTCATCTCCTATTTATTTCGCCCACAACAGCCTCTTAAGACTAATTGCTGACTGACAGGCCGAATAATATCAGACACATAAGTTACACAGCGTAAAATGCACATATATATATATATACACACACGTGTACGTACATATATATGATCTGTATTCGTCTTTCAGTTTTCCTCTACCCATCATCTCATGCATTTTTTCTCCAGATGGCTTGGCAGCTTTTAGGACATTTTTAAAGTCAGAGTTCAGTGAGGAGAATGTGGAGTTCTGGCTCGCCTGTGAGGACTTCAAGAAAACCAAGTCCTCGGCTAAGATCGCCTCAAAAGCCCAAAAGATTTATTCTGACTTTATACAAGCTGATGCTCCAAAGGAGGTACATAGTGTTCTGTGTGTACTTTGGGTACTGAGGATGAGAATCAATTGGAAAGTTCAGATGCAAACTTCTAGGAATAACAGAAAATACAATTCAATGTGGCTGTTTTGCATTTTCATGTCAATTATTTACCAGATAGGAAACACTGCATGGGACTTTGTAAAGCAAACTAAGACCTTTTATGGTATATATATTTTTTCACAGAGGGCATGGGTTTATCTCACCTTCTGAAAATTCCACCTTAAAATGTAATGAAATATATATTTGATATAATTTGTTTTCTCTAACCATTTTGATAATGCAATAAGCACCATTTCCTCCATATTTTAGGTACCAGTATATTGGAATTTTAGTGGTTGTATTTGTTCTTTCATACAGGTATTTTGACATGATAAAAAATAAAATGGAAACTTGCAAAACATTTCCCTCACAGCATTTAATGTTATCATTACTTTAAAAATGCTTGTGATGAAGGAAGAAATTACAACTTGATTATCGTTCACATTCTACTCCCTAACAAATTTTTACACTCATCTTTTTGCCTCTGACAGTGAGTGTGCTTTGAGTGTCTCCATGTCTTACATATGATTGAAATCCATTTTATTATGATAAAAACCAGAAAATATTTATAAAATACATAAGGCCAAAACCTAAACTGATGCTGAGTACCTTCATCACTAATTTACCCATTGGTAATCAGTACTTCAAAGGATTTGCACTGGCAAAAAATGAGATAAACAGAAGCAAGTTTTCCCCTTCTTTTTTTGCAGTGATGCTGTCTCTTTAAGACTCAAATAAAATTAGGAATTCAGTATAGTAGAAAATTAAGGAATAACCTTCCTGCTTATTTGCATCAGCCAGGATATCTGGGGGGAAATTCAGATGCAGACTGTGTCCTGTAGAGGAACAAACGTCAGCTTTCCAACCAAACTGACATTCGTTTTATGCTTCCTTTCTTCCTACAGATTAATATTGACTTCCAAACTAAAACCCACATTTCTCAGAACATCTCTGAACCCACTCTCAGCTGCTTTGATGATGCTCAGAGGTTAGTCTATAGTCTCATGGCAAAGGACTCTTTTCCCAGGTTTCTAAGGTCAGATGTTTACAAGGAATTGGTAAAGAAGCAACAGAATGGAAATCAGAAGAGATGGTTCCCATTTTTGTGAGAAAATGCCCAAGGGATTATGAATTTGTAAATGTCTCCCATTGCAAGTCAGTACAGTTAATATTTTATTAAACTGATTGTACAAACCAGATCTAAATTGCCTTTGCCAGGTTGTTTTCAGGTACAGTAGGCACATGATATTTTCTAATAACAGTGGAGACATAGTCAAGAAACATGGAATATGCCAAGACATTTGAGCTTCCTTTTTAGTAAAGAAGTTTGCCATAGATAGTTTTGCCAGTTCTTGCTTTATCTGTCAAAGTGTTTTCACATTAAGCAGAATGTTTTGGGTTTTCTGATTTGTTACTGAGTTTTCTGTAGAAGTATGGCCTCAAAAATAAATTTCAGGGGACTTGGATACATTTACTCATTCATTCATCATCTCATTTGTAATATGTAAAAAAGAAATAATGAAAATCTCCATATTTTATACCAACTCAAAACAGAAGTAGAAATATGGTAGATAACACAGCATGAACGTGCACAAGTCCATGGGTCCTGATGAAATCCATCTGCGGGTCATGAAGGAGCTGGCGAATGAAGTTGCTAAGCCTCTGGCCATCATATTTGAGAAATCATGGCAGTCAGGTGAAGTTCCCGATGACTGGAAAAAGGGAAATATAACCCCCATTTTCAAGAAGGGGAAAATGGATGTCCCGGGGAATTACAGACTAGTCATTCTCAGCTCCGTGCCTGGCAAAATCTTGGAGCAGATTCTCCTGGAAGGCATGCTAAGGCACATGAAAAACAACAAGGTGCTTGGTGACAGCCAGCATGGCTTCAGCAAGGGGAAATCCTGCCTGACCAATTTGGTGGCCTTCTATGATGGGGCTACAGAACTGATGGACAGTGGTAGAGCAGTTGATGTCATCTACCTGGATTTGTGTAAAGCATTCGACACTGTCCCACACACCATCCTTGTCTTTAAATTGGAGAGACATCAATTTGATAGATGGACCACTCAGTGGATAAAGAACTGGATGGATGGCCACACACAAAGGGTTGTCATCAATGGCTCAATGTCCGCCTGGAGACCAGTAATGAGAGGTGTCCCTCAGGGATCGGTGTTGGGACCGGTCTTGATTAACATCTCTGTCGGTGACATGGACAGTGGGACTGAGTGCGCCCTCAGCAAGTTTGCCAACGACACCAAGCTGTGTGGTTCAGTAGATACGCTGGAGGGAAGGAATGCCATCCAGAGGGACCTTGACACGCTTGTGAGGTGGGCTGATGCCAACCTCATGAAGTTTAACCAGGACAAGTGCAAGGTCCTACACCTGGGTCGGAGCAATCCCAGGCACAGCTACAGGTTGGGCAGAGAAGAGATTCAGAGCAGCCCTGCGGAGAAGGACTTGGGGGTGTTGGTCGATGAGAAAATGAACATGAGGTGGCTTCAGTGTGTGCTTGCAGCCCAGAAAGGCAACCGTATCCTGGGCTGCATCAAAAGGAGTGTGAGCAGCAGGTCGAAGGAGGTGATCCTGCCCCTCTACTCTGCTCTCATGAGACCTCGCTTGGAGTATTGTGTGCAGTTCTGGTGTCCTCAACGTAAAAGGGACATGGAACTGTTGGAACAAGTCCAGAGGAGGGCCACGAGCATGATCAGGGGACTGGAGCACCTCCCGTATGAAGATCAGCTGAGAAAGTTGGGGCTGTTCAGCCTGGAAAAGAGAAGGCTGCGTGGGGACCTCATAGCAGCCTTCCAGTATCTGAAGGGGGCCTATAGGGATGCTGGGGAAGGACTCTTCATTAGGGACTGTAGTGATAGGACAAGGGGTAATGGGTTAAAAGTTAAACAGGGGAAGTTTAGATTGGATATAAGGAGGAAATTCTTTCCTGTTAGGGTGGTGAGGCACTGGAATGGGTTGCCCAGGGAGGTTGTTAATGCTCCATCCCTGGCAGTGTTCAAGGCCAGGTTGGACGAGGCCTTGGGTGATATGGTTTAGTGTGAGGTGTCCCTGCCCATGGCAGGGGGTTTGGAACTTGATGATCTTAATGTCCTTTCCAACCCTAACTATTCTATGATTCTATGATAGTATTTAATAGGCAGATGCTTTATGACAAATGTCCCTGGCTTTCAGAGCAAATTACTGTTTCATAATGCAGCTGTCCTCAATATGACTCTATCCAATTTTCTTTGCGTTTATTTAATTTGAATTTTTATTGAGAAATCTCATTTATTAATTGTATAGGCATTTGGAAAAAAAACTCCAAACCCTGAGTAAATATTCCTTTGTACATTTTAAATAAATAGCTCCTTTTCTTTGTTTTTCCAAGTGTATCAGTGATACTGTCCCCATGCACTCATTAAATGAGTTATTACAATTTTTCAATGAAATACAGGTAAGCAGAAAAGTAAACATCAGAGGAACAGTTTCAGGCAAGTAAGCATGTAGATCAGAATTTAATCATGGTGTTATTTTTCAAACAAGCAAGATGCAGTAGGATTCTAGTGCAGTTGTCATGTTTGCACACACTGATATCATTCTTTGCTCTTGGAGAGTTTATTGCATATATTTTGATGAAGGAAGGAGCTGTTGTATAGTACTGAAATAAAAAATATTTTTAACCATGTTGGGCCAGGAAGAATCTTCACTATGGAATTAATTCTAAATACAAGAGACAGCCATAAGATTTTTCTTAAAAACAAAACAGAAAAATTCCCCCCAAAGACTTTCATTTGATATTAATTTAATTGTTTCAAATCTTTTGCTTTTGAGCTGCTCTGAGTCTCTAGGAATCTCTAATTCTCTGTTTATGCCTTCTATACACCATCACATATTCTATGCAAAAGATCCTCTCTGGTATCCAACTACATTAAAGAACTAATCCATGTAGGAAATAAAGGATATTAAGTAGTCTGAAAACCCCAGTACACTGTCTTGAGTTGTATACTTAGGTTACCTGCCACAACTTATGCAAGTAAGTAGTTAGGTACGGTGTAAAATACCTCTTCTTTGACACCCACCATCTTTACTATCACCTACTTTATCTTCCTGTCTGCATTTCATTTTCATTTCTTTCTTTCCCAGTACTAGTGGTTAACAGAGAAACATACATGGTCGCTGAGGTTGCGCTGAAAAGAGGATGTAGGTTTGTTTTGCAGTCCCACAGCTACCATTTATTTTGCAATGATAGTTCTGTGGAAAACTGCAAGCTCTGCCTGCAGCACAGCCTTGGTCTCCTTCCTGCACTAGGGGTTTCTGCGGCTTAAAGTCACAGTGAAGGCAGAAGTCAGGATTGCTGAAATTTACTCAAAAATGCAGCAAGTAATTTTCTTACAAATCCAGTTCTCATTTTCAGAAGAGAAACTTGCCACATGTTGGAAGAAGTGGGATCACATCACCTTTCTTATCAGGGCAAGGAGAAACAAAAAAATTACCTTGAAAATAGATGTGTGATCATGAAACCTCACAACTCACTCCTTTAAAACTTGCACACTTTTGACTTTACACCATCACAGACAAAGCTAGAAATTGGTAAAAAGATGGCTGCCAGGGGTCTCCAACTCCTGTCTGCTTGAAAGCGCAGCATAAGAAGTTAAAAATATACATAAACCAGTCAGGTTGTGTGGAATTGTGTGAGTGAAGCCACATAAGCCAGTGGAAGGACCCATGCTCACCTTTGTGTGAGTTAAATCAGATGTGAGATAATACAATCCACTATCTGAACTAGAAATATAAAATTTCTAGAAGTTCTGAAGCCTAGAGACTAAAAATAGCTGTTTTTTTACCATAAAGACTCTGAATTTTGGGGGAGACTACCTGTTATATCTGGAATTTACTGCTATGTCTAAGAAAGGGAAAGCTACCATACCTAATCTGGCTCCTGCAAAGAAAGCCAGGTAGATTAAATTAATAACACCAGTATAAAATCATATTTTATAAAGTAATTTTTATGTTCATTTTGAGAAAAAACACCTCCCAGAAAAGTTTCTTTTCCATTTTTTCCCAGCTTTTCAACTTCTATAATACTTGGCCATGGAAATTAGACTCAATGTATTCTTACACATTTCAGAGGAGGCCCTGAGTGCTTTGATCTTTAGTGAGAAAAATGAGACAATACTAAAGCAAATGATTCCCTGCCTTATTTTTTTATATTGCTGCTATGGTTTAGCTGTCCTAAGTAAGACATTAGCTTGCATTATTTTTTCTTCTATATTGCATGGGTTTGGTTATTTGCATATAAAATGAGTAGAGCTGGATTTGTCTCTCAATCCATATCTGTTTCCATTCAGGTTTGCATGTAGGTTATTTTTAGTTCTATGAATATTTTGCCTACTATGCATAACAGTCCTGGAAAGGTAAACAAAGGCACACACTCAGTAAAAACTGTACTGAAACCATGTTTTTCATAATGCAGTAGTTATAACTTAAAAACTCATAAACCAGAGAAGAAAGGAAAAAATCTTTAAATAAGTTGTCTTTTTTGAATAATTTCAAACGTACTATGCTGTCATATAAATATCTTGTTTTAGCTGAGAGAAAAGGGCAGGAAGGGAAGACATAAGGAAGATGTAGGATTTACTATTTTGGATACAAAACTTATCTGTGTTGGCAGAAACATCTTCATGACTGCACAGCATGGAGAATGTAGCAAGGCAGGGTACAGAGAGATTACCTTACACTGGTCAATCATGCCTAGGTTGGAGCTTCAGTTCTTCACCAAGTTCCAGTGGCAAAGAACTCCTCTTATTAATAATGCATTACCTTTCTCTCCCTCTGAAATGTAGAGTAATTGTGCCATGTTAATTTCAGGTTACAGATTCTCTAGTGCTTACCACCACACATAAATAATGTTATTAATAGTTCTTACGGTCTAATTACAGATAGTTCTGTCACTAACCTAAGCAAATACCCAACATTCAGGGCTCAAGGGGCATTTGCTTCTAAATAAAAATTAAAGAATGCAAAGAAGTATAAACATCACGAACTCAGGAAAGCTCATTCTTCACATAATGTAACATGGGAAGCTGCTTTGAAAGGCTGAATGAGTTTGGTATTTAAAATACTATATTCAATAGTAAGATGAATAGGCAAATTCAGGCTGAAAAGGCCAACATTTCATCTTTGAAATGCTCTTGACACTGTAAAATGACACTACATAAACTAGGAGATAAGAGATAAAATGCCATGGACTGACACTGACACTACTGCTTGTACTGCTAATATTTTTCTAAGTTCTGCACTCTGTCTACATGGTCACCCAAGCTCTTCACCACGAAGGATCTTCTCCTGCTTCAAGCTCATTCTAAATTTGTATAGTGCTATCACTTGTCTTCTACTTGAACTTGCATTCATATTGTATAGTTTCACCATCAGCAGCTATACAATATGAATAGTTTCAAATTGATTTGAATTTAATTTCCAGAATAAATTGACTGGATTTTGATCGAAATGC